GATATCACTGTGCAGCCAAGGCTAACCAAAGGCTGGTCTCATTCCCTTCCTGCTTGGGGCTGCTTGCTCCTTGCTTCTGCTGCTCTGTGGAGCACCACTGGGTAGATCCCTCAAATTGCTTTGAGCTGGGTTAGAAATTACACTGGCAGCATCTCCCTGGGGTCTTCCTGGGGCCCAGAGCATGTGGACAGGGACACTCTTCTGCAGGCAGTGGGCAGGAGTGAGCTAATTCTGGCTGTGTCCTTTTGTGCCTGAGCCCCTGGAGCAGGTGAGAGCAGCAAAGGGTGACGCTCATTCCCCAGGTGTTGTGGAGGGGGCTGAGGTTTGCAGCATGGAGAGCTCAAGGCTGAGTTGTTTATTAAATGTCTCTGAGAGAAGCCATTGATTAACTTGGCCCTGTGCAAGGCTGAGGCCAGAGCACTGACAAGCCTGAAGATTTATTAGCTTCAGCACTCACATCTCTGTTCTTTGAGGAAGACCTTGATTGAAGTAGACTGTTCTATCACATGTCTTGGATCACTGCCACATCAGATCCCATTCTCAGCACTGCCTTGAAGGGCTTTCCCCCCCCCTTTTCCATCTGCCCACCCAGTTGCTGCTCGTACACCCACCCCAGTGCTGTGCCCAGAGCCAGCTGGGAGGGACACAGCAGCTCAGCATTGAGGAGCCAAGCACTCGGGGTCATTAGCACAGCAGTGGATGGATGCTGCAGGATTAGAGCTGCTGCCAGTCTGCTTTGATTTCTCTTCCTTTCTTTCTGGTGTGGATTAGCAGAACTGTCTGGCCTCTCTCCCCTTCTGTCTTTTGCTGTTAGATCCCCTCAGCTGGAGAAGACCTGTTCAGCAAACCAGCCACATGCACTCTTCCACTTACCAGTAGTGCAGGGGGAAATAACCTTTTAATAAAGAGGGCTCAGGAGACTTGGCTTTACAAACCTTCTCTTCAGGCCCCAGCTAGGAAAGCACTCCCAGCCCTATTGTAACTTTTGTAATTAAAGACAAATTAGATCAACAATAGATCAACGTTAGATGGTTGGGCTTCCCTCCAGGAGACGCTTGGATGGAGTTGTCATAGCCAAGGAACTGATTAATGAGGTATTTTTTGTTCACATGATACAGAACACGATACAAACATGATACAAAGCTTGAGCCAAGACCTGTCCTGCAGTTTGGTTCAGCTGTTTAGTTGAGTTTTGTTCTGGGAGAAGACCTCCCCATAAATACTGGCAGGAGCAGCAAAGGAGCAGGGGAAGGACAGCAAAGTGACCTCTGGTAAGCTTTGATGTGGGTGGTGAGCTGCCTCTCTCCCTGTCTTCAGATATTTGGCTGGCTGCTGTTTTATGGGTTGGATAATACTAATTTATGGCTCTATTTTCTGGTGCTTCCCTTCCCTGTTGCTCTTCTCTGTTAGGCTGCATGTCCTCTGGACAGCTTTCAGTGGGCACTGCGGGCCGTAATCCATCTCTGGAGCTTGGAACTTGTACACTTTGCCCCTCTATTTAACTCTTTTTCACCTGCCAGTGCAGGGACTCCCACTGTTTGTCATCCCAAAGCTCTGGTGCATGCAGGGCAGATGCTTTCCCCCTTGGAGGTGTGTGGCTATGATATTGCTGGAGTGAATCTGTGGCTGGGCCTGGACTGAGCTTTCCAAGGCTGACAAGGCAAGCTGCCTTAGCCCTGCCTGGCTGATAGCATTTGTCAGCTCACACCTCGCACACCCTCATCTGAACATGTCCTTTCGGCGCTGAGTAAAGCCCTGTTGCTTGTTTGGCAGGATGTTGTCTGGAATGAGCTCTGGCATTTAACATGCCTAGTTCTGACAGGCTGCTCTCTGTGGGGTTTCCATTATCTTGGCCAGCCGTGTCTAACCCCTCTGATGTGCTGAAGGAGCTGTCTCTTGAGCTGTTAAGGGATTCAAGTCAAGTGGGACCAGCACAGATGAAGCCACAACTCCTGGACAGCCTGGGAGAGAAGAGCTGTGGTTGTCCTTTACATCTTCCATGCCATGAGTTGCTTTTCTGCAGGGATGGCACCAACTTCAATGTGCCTTTCTTTCCCCCCTCAAAAAGTAAGGGATCAGTGCAAAGCCCTAGGTACTGTCTGCTTCTGCTGCTGGAGGGTGGGAAGGCAGTGGGGCCAAGCACAGAACATGCCTCTTGGAAGAAAAGCCAACCCCACCAGGAAGAAGTTTTATTTTTACACACCCAGTATTTCTCCTGTGCTCACTGACATTGGGATTTGCTGTTGCCTTTAGTTTTTCTGTAATAAACAAGCAGTTGCCATGGGAACCCTGCTATTAGTAAGGCACAAATGTATTGTCACTGGGAGAATAGCAGTAATATTTCTTGTGCTGGGGACCAGCTCTGCTCCATGTGGTGGAATGTGGGTGGGATTCTGCACTAGGTCAGGCAGGATGGGGTATCAGGGGGTGTGGAGCAATAGCAGCAGGGCTTTCCTTCTTCCAAGCTCTGAGTTCTGCAGGAAAAAATGGAAAGCATTTAAGTGAAAAAAAAAATAAAAAAGAAGTGTGATCCCTGAGCTGTGGCTCTGTTTGTCATGAGGGCTGCCTGCTGCTCCACTTGGTCTCTGGTGGTTTCTCCTCTTCTGGTCGTGTTGCCAAGCAATGCGACGTGCTGGGCTCGGCGCTGCTGGAGGCACTGGAGCAGCAACTGGGCAGGGGGATGAGTGGGTTTGTCCAGTATGTGTGCTGAAGGCTGAATCCCTGAGTGATGGAGCAGAGAGGAGTGTGCTGGGGCATGTCAAGCACTTTGCAGACCAATGAGTTTGGGTAGCGACAAAGCTGCAACTTGTGCTGCTCCTGAAAGGGAGAGCAGGTGGGGCCAGTCCCCTCCAGCTTGGAGCTGTCCCTGAAGCTGTGGGCAATGCTGGATGTGATGTAGTGCAGGAGTTGCCCTCAGTGAGATGCTTGGGTTGTATAAAACTCACCATCTCTGATTCCCCCGCTCACATTGTCCAGGAGCTCTTGGTTTCCCCACTCCCTTAGGTTGTGTTTGCCAACGATCCAGGTGCTGCAGGGGAGTTGTGTGCTCAGAGATTCGTGCTCAGCCTGCTCACCCCAGGGTGTTTTGGCTGTGCTGGGTGTGTGTGGCTGTTTGAGCTGTTGCTGCAGGCTGCCCATGTGCTTTTTTCCTTATATTTGACAGCTGCAAGTAGTGCCAAGCACTGTGTGTGCCAGGCTGAGCTCTGCCCTGCCCTGGGCAGCAGGAGGGAGCGTGGTTGGCTCTTGCCATCGCAGATGTGCCTGTGCCAAATGCACACATTTAATGATAGAGCCAAGTGCTCCTTCCCCTTGGCCTCAGCACAGTCTCCACACGTCCTCTGCTGCTGGGGTTAAGTGCAGCCAGTAGCTCTGCACCATTCCCTGTGGCTCTCTGTGCCATCAGGCTCTGGTGCCTTTGGCTTGGAGATTGAACCACGTGTCGAGGGATCTCTGGCTCTGCCAGCAGCTGCAGAGCTTCAGGCCCTCGATGAGTGACCCATTCCCTGTGGGAATACTGCTTTTCTAGCAAATTTTATCTTGGCATATTTTTTTATGAGCTTTTTCTCAGTCAGCTGGAGATAGATAGGGATAAATCTGTTCCGTTCTCTGAAAGTACAGCTGTCCAACAGCTCTTATTGATATATCAGCAACTGCTGGAACACCAGATTTAATACTTCTGGGCTCTGGAAAGTGCCAGCAGAAGGTCTGGGAGCTTTGGATGAAGAATTACCTTAAAGGGAAACATTGGTGCAGTGGGTAAAATACACTTTTATTGGCAGCAGAGGAAATGAGAGCAGACAGAGCTGCTCCTGTGGTGCAAGTGCCTTTGTGTCATTAATATTTTCTTCCTCTTGTGCTGCTTCTCTCTGAACTGCTGAATGGCAGAAGGGCAGGCAGGGAAAGTCACCTCCACTGATTCACTGGGGCCTTCTCCAAATAAATCCTGACTCCTAGTACTTTTAGGGGCTCCATGGAAGAAGGAGCTGTTCCAAAACAATGGATTTTATGAATCCAGGAGACCAAAAAAAAGGATAATAACCAAGTGGGACAGAAGTTCATTTTCTCAGGGAATTGAGCAATGGGGCAGTCAGAATGACTCTCACAGCTGAGATTTGGATTTTATGGGGGGAAAAAAAAGTACGTTCTGGTATGTATGAACTGTTATTAACAGTATTTATATTTAATGCCCCCCTCTGCCAGGGGAAGCAGAGAGGCTGTCTTTAAGATGAACATTTGCTTTTGAGGGCTCTTAGCCAGCATTGTACCAGGGCTTCACTCCCTGCCCAGCTCAGCTCCACAGCCTCTTT